TAGTTGGCTATTATAATTAATAAAACTAATTAATTAGACACGTGAGTTAACTTGATTGTGTTACATTTTTTAATAGGTATTTTGAGTTACTTTAGTTAGAATTTTGTTTCGAACTTAATAACGGTTTACCGTTCCCTAGTATATTATGATTTAACTTATATAAGTACTTATAAATAATATTAATATTATATAAAATTCTATTAACATTATTGCTTATAAATATAATATTTTTATATTAAGGATTTCAAATTAGATTTAATTTTTAAGATTATTAGTATTCTAAATAGATAAATAAAAAATATAAAGTAATAGTACAGGAAGTTTATACTCAATAATATAAATATAATACTTTAAATCTTTCAACTCTTTAAAAAAAATAAAATTTAAAAAAAATAAATAGGTAACTTTATTTTTTAAGATAAGCTCTATTAAATTATTAGTTAGTTTTTAAAAATAAGTTCTATATAAAAAGTTATAGGCAATTAAAATTGGATAATTTTCATATAATCATCCTTAATTTGAAACATATATTATTGATTAAAATAATTGATAATTCAAGCTGGCATTATAGTAATTTCAGCCTGAATTATTATAATTTTAAAATGATACACAAATAAAATGATTAATATATCATTTTTCATTGGTTAATTACTAATCACGTGATATAAATTCACAAAAAATTTTGAAACATTATTAAAACTTCTGGCACCATATTATTCTTAAATAATCCTATATTATTGCACATATTTTTTAATAATATAAATGTATTTCAATTTAGAAGTTTATTAGTAAACTATATATAATGATAATGCTTTTATAATATAAGTTATATAATAAAAAACCCGAATTATTTTTATTTAATAATATAGATTAGTTTAATATATATATATCAATTAAAAAAAATTTAAATTTTATATTATCCAACTTATTAAGATAAAAAAAAAAAAAAGGTTAAAATATAAATATTTCCATTATAATAGAATTATTTAATAAAAAGCCTTAGTAAAAACTGGAATTAAATTATATTTATTGCAGATTATATGATTTAGAATTATAATATATAATCTTTTTTCTCCATAGATGTAAAATCATTAAGTTAAAGGTTATTATAACTAATTTTACTCATGACTTTAGACGATTCTCTTTGTCTTACAGATATTTGTAATACTTAAATAATTTGGCGATTTACTGTATATAATATTTAGTTAATGATAAATTCGAAAGCAAGTTAGTGTTGTGTAAAAGGATAATGTTGAAGGGAAATTCATACCTTAGGAGAATCCAATAATCCTTTCTTGAGTTGATCTCGTTCTTGTTGTATGATAAAATTTTTGGAATCTCCTTTATAAAAAATTCGTGAAAATTTTCGTGCTGTTCTCCTTGACTTCAAAGCAAAGCCATTCATAGTAAGGAATATCGAGTTTTAAATCTGTTGGGTTTTCAAGAAATATTCTAATGATTTTTTTGATGGTGACTCAAGATAATTTCTCAACATAATTGCTCGCGTTTATATAGATGACCAAATGGACATCAGGTGTCACCAAGAGATGCGTGCCATAAATAGCCTTCTTTACAACACAACGTTATTTTTTTATACTTAGTTGAAAGGCATTCTTTATGTCTAGATAATACAATTTGTTTCGCGTCCTCAAAAGTGAATTTCATAATACTTTGCCCTGTTGAATATTATTGGGAATGGCCGATATCGACAATACAAAATGAACACTATTGTCCACTATTTTTTTTAATATGATTACAGTGTATTGTTTTTACGTAATTTCATACGACCGTGACGCCAGAATTATGAAATGGGCTATTCCAAATATGATCGATATATTTAGTTGAAGACATTTACGATTTCGGTTAAGTGCCAATGGAAATTGACTCATTTGCAAGGCAGTTTCAAGTGTTTAGATGCGATTTATTTTTGATAACTTCACGAGTGCATTTTTACAATATCCGTATGGTTTTTCATCGAGTAAATAATTTTCAAACTTTCTATTCTTCCAATTTTAAAAAGCATCCCAAATCAAGAATCTCCTCTACTTCCTCCATTGTTAAAAAGACTGAATTATTGGTAAAATATTTTGATGCTGACCACTAATGAATAAGGAAAAGAATTTATTTTTATTAGGAATCATAATTGAATAAAAAAATTGCCTCAAAAATAAAAAATTCCATATCTATAGATTTTTTTTAAAACAAATTTTTTTTAATTCTATGAAAAAATAATCGCTTCTTGTCTAACAAATGTAAAATATCCGCCGCAGTATTGACTACTGTTGCTGACGTAAGGAAAAATCATTGTCCTGATTAGATCGATCAAATTGATCAACTGTTTAAATAAATCGTTCAAATAAAAAAAAAAAATTTTTGCATCGGACTTTTTTAATTTTTAAATTTTCTTTATCCCCCTGATCATTTTATTCTTTTAATTTTTTTTCTATTATTTGACATATTTCTCCAAATTCTAATCCCATTAAAAATATTTTATCGAGAAAAAGTATAAAAGGAATTTTTGTTTCCGATATCTTTCCCAACATAGTCATAGTTTTGATTTTAATTCAAACATCCCTTTACCTTTACGTTATGTGTCAACAAGGAATTGGTTCGATACCGATCTTACCTGATGAAAATCATTTGTCATTTATGTAATATCTTAGGATACTTTCTACGATTATGGTGTTTTGATACTTTGAAAGAATATTTCACCTTTGATGTCACAATCAAAAAAGACCATAAATTGATCACCACAGGACCATATTCTTTATTAGTTCATCCTTCGGTAATTATTTTTTTTTGATCTTTAATTATTTACAGTTTGATAAAAAAAAAATTTCTCATTTATGTTTATCAACTTGATTCAAATAGTATACTGGTGCTATTTTGAAATATATCTTGGTATTACAAATGAATTTTCAATTATGTCGTTATATTCCTGTATACTTTCCATCAACGATGGGTAACATTTTATCAAGTTTGTGGTTTAAAGCGTTTCAAGTTATTTGTTTAATTATTGTTCTTCACAATCGAGTCATTTATGAAGAAAAGGTATTGAAAAGTCATTTTGGCAAGGAATGGGATGTTTACTTTCGTCAACGGAAAAGATTTCTACCTTATGTGTTTTGAATGAATGTTATTCAATGGGAGCATGGTTTCTAAAAAAGATTAGTCGATTAAAGTAATAAACAATCGGCTTTTAAATATGATCACATGTAAACATCACTTGTATAACGTTACAACAAACAAAAAGCCAAATTTTTAAGTTCGTGAGGAATTTTCGATTGTTCCGATAATTTCTTGTTTATACTTGTTCCAAAATATGAACTCCGTTTTCCATTATTTCCATTACCACAATGTTTCTAATTTTACAAACAACGTATGAAATCCCACGTGAAGAACAAATTGAAATTCTAAAAATTTTTCAAAACCAGTTATTGTTGATATTCATTACCTTGTCAATTTTCACGTTCGTATTCGAGATCTTTTAAAGATATCATTATATAATGAAAGTGACTTACCCGTGGGAAAAACAAAAATTAAATTTTTAATATAAAAATCGGTCTTCTTTTTTTCAAGAGAAAAAAAAAAAAAAAAATAATCAAGAAAATAAAATCCTTCCAAACAATATTCAACGATGGCTCTTGATACCCAAAGCGTTTTTGTCGCTATATGTTTAGGAATCGTCACATATGTGACGCATTTTTATTTCAAGTATTTCACCCGTCTCAATCCAATTCCTGGTCCAATCCCACTTCCAATTATCGGGAACTATCATCAAATTTGTGGAAACGTATCACATTTCTCTAGACAATGTCAAAAAAAGTATGGCGATATTTGGGAATTTTACCTTGGTCATCCAAGTAATAAAACGAGAGGGATCGTATTAAGCAGGGCGGATTTCCTAGAAAAAATTTATTCAACAAAAATACAAACGAGTAATTACATTCATCGTACGCCCCCGAATGATGGATTAGATGAATACGGTTTTTCAACAAAAGGAATTGTATATAATAGAAATTTTGATACGTGGGTGTACTATCGTAAATTTTTCATGCGTGCTATCATGGCTCCAACGTTTCTTAAACAAACTTTGGTATGGACCCAAGAAAATTTTGTAGAGATGGAACGTTATTGGAAGGAACTTTATGAAAAGGATACCTTCGAGTTGGATTTATCTCAATGGATGCTTCGTTTCACTACGGAAACTATCTTTCAAATTACAGCAAATAAAAAAGTTTACGCGTTGGCAAATTATTTCAATAAACTTTCTCCAAAGGGAAAGGTTGGTTTTGATTCCACCGTATTAAAGGAATCCGAAGAATTCATTCATAGGGTTGATGATTTTATTAATAGTTTGATCTATTTCTTGTTAACACCAAAACTTATACGTCATTCTCCTATTGGTGGATCCTATCAAAGAACCTTACAATTACTTAAAGAACGTGATAATATGATCAATGATTTGTTGAACTTGGTCTCTCAACGAAGAGAAGAGATTAATAACACCCCTTTGGATGAACCCATCACTCCTGATATGCTTACCATGTTGATCACAGTTAATACCGATAGAAGTATTATTGAAAATACTGATGATATGAATACCGAACCGATGACGGATGATGCTATTGTCGGTAACTTTATGGAAGCTGCTGCTGGAGGTATCGATACTACTTCTGGTTCGGTCTGTTTCGTCAGTTATTTTATGGCTCAATACCCTGAAGTAAAGAAACGTGTCTTTGAAGAAATTGACTCGAAATTTACACGTGATCAAAAATTAACTTTCGAAGATCTGAACAAACTTCCTTATTGTGAGGCGGTGATTCGAGAAACTTCTCGATTCTTTCCAACCGTAGATCTTAATTATCGTATGAATACCAAGGAAGAAATCTTGAATGGTTACGTTATTCCAGCCGAAACTCAAATTTATATACATCACTATGGTATGAATATGCACGAGGCTCATTGGTCTAATCCTGAAATATTTAATCCTGATCGTTTCTTGAACGATCGAGAAAAATCTATGAATTTTCAATTTGGAGGTGGTATCAGAATGTGTCCGGTAAGTCAACTTTTTCTGTGATTTTTCATTTTTTTTAAAAAAAAAAAAAAAATTTCGTCCGAATTCTAATGATCATTTCTTCATTTATTTATTTGTTGGGCAGGGTCGAAATTTAGCAATGATGGAATTGAAAGCGTTCATGGTATTGATGTATCGAAAATATGATATCGAATTGGTTGATAAGAACGCTCCTTTGAAAACTCACTACTCTATTATTAGGCATTGTGATGAACTCAAAGTTAGAATTAAACCCAGAGTATTCTAAGATTATTTTGAAGTTTTCCGCGGAAGTTGAAATATTTTGTTTTATTTATTTTTTTTTTTTGAAATTGTTTGTTCAAATAAACTCTTCATCGTGGGCGAAGATTGATGAAAGTTCTTCTAGTTAGCTCCATTAATGTCGACTCATAATAATATCATCTCGATCTATTTAATGGATCCTTTATTAGCTTTATATAAAAAAAAATTTAACGTTAACAGCCTTGTATAGTACACTATGAGCGATTATGTTAATTGTGTAACCAACTAATCTTTATCATTAAATGAATTATTTATAGATGAGATAATAATATACTAATTATATAGTAAGCGCTTAATTACATATTTAAATGACACGTATACGTAATAAAAAAAATTTTGTAATGTGCAACCATGTCATGTAAGATAAATTGTTTTGCATTATTTGGGATTTCAAATTTTAATTACACAAATTACGCAAGATCACAATTTAGTTTATGGGTATATAAAAAAAAATTCCCGATCACCGGAAAAAAAAATTCGGCTAAATCATGTGCAACTATTTGACGATAATCATTATGATTTTGCTTATAAATACGAATTCAAAAAAAAAAAAAAAATTATCATTTTGATCAAAAAAAAAAAAACTCGTATCAACCTTGCAGTTGACTTTACAATTTATAAATCAGTTCAATTGATTAATAATTTTTAATACTAAGAGAAATTTGATTCATAATCTTTTTAATTATTTGAATAGCATGAAACCACAAAAAGAACCAACACAAGATATTTTCGATGATCTATGTAGTGATGCTGTAGAACTCGATCAATTAGTTTCGCAGATGAAAGATTTAATGGTAGAATGTAAGTACAATTACATCCCCTTTATCGTTCATATTCATTCCTTACGAAAAATACATTTATCCTTTAGACGTAAATGAAAGTCGAAAGCCCGGTGCGTTAGTGGTAGAATATAAACCACCAGAAGAATTAAAGACATTGATAGATCTAGATTTGACATATACGGGAGTTGGTATTTCTGGGTTAATGCCATTGTTGCATAATGTCTTACGTTATAGTGTCAATACATGGAATCCAAAGTTTATGGATAAATTATACGCAGGAACCAATCCTGTTGGGATTATCACGGAAATGTTGATAACATTCTTAAACGCAAATTCACACGTTTATCACGTTTCTCCGGTACTGACGTTAATGGAAAATCATGTTTCGGAGAAACTGGCAAGATTATTAGGAATGGGTGAGGTAACGACGTTAAAAATAAAAAAAGTCTTTCAAGATTTTTTATGTAATTTAATGAATTCGTATTAAACAAATATTATTTTTTTCGTTTTTTAGAAATCAGGAGGAATAACGTGTCCAGGAGGTGCATTTTCAAATCAACTTGCAATACTGACAGCAAGAAATCACATGTTTCCCGAGATAAAAACTAAAGGGTATTATAATTTTGGTAAAAGATTAATGTTATTTACTTCTGATGCGGGACATTATTCCATTGAGAAAACTGCTATGGCACTAGGTTTAGGAATCGATAGTATCGTTAAAGTACCTTATGATGATCAAGGAAGAATGCGACCTGATGAATTAGGTAAGCATATGTACTGCGAAGAGAAAATTTACTTTTCTAGGAATTCTGTGGATTTAATTATAAATTTGATTGTTTCTAGAACGATCAATTCTACAATCATTGAAAAGAAAAGAAACCCCATTTTTTGTTAATGCGACTGCTGGAACTACTGTTTTGGTACGAAAAGATTTGTAAGATGGAAAATCCTTTACCTCCGATCTTTACGTGGATTTAACATAACATTACTTTTTCATATTAGGGAGCATTTGATCCACTAAGAGAGATCGGGAAAATCGCTAAACGATATAATTTATGGTTTCACGTTGATGGATCATGGGGTGGGAGTCTCATATTTTCGGAGAAACACAAACACTTGATTGACGGTTCATATTTGGTTTGTTATTAAAAAAAAAAAATTATTATTTTTTGAATTTTTTTTATTGTAACTAATTTATGATTTTTTTTTTTTTTTTTTTTTTATTGATTAATGCGCCAAATATAAGGCCGATACATTTGTTCTAAATCCACATAAATTACTTGGGACACCATTACAATGTTCATTCTTGCTAGCATCAGATCGACAAATATTTCAACAATCAAATTCACTAGGAGCAAAATATTTATTTCATGATAATAAATATGATTTAGGGGATGGTACAGTTGGATGTGGTAGAAGACCTGATGCGATAAAATTATTTATAGGATGGAAAATCTTCGGTATAATGGGATATAAGCAAAGGATAGAACACGCATTTTCAATGGCAGGATATTTAACTAATTTAATAAAAAACAATGATAGATTTAAAATGGTACTAGAAACTCCACCAAGTTTGCAGATATGTTTTTGGTATATACCAAAAGGAATGAAAGTTTACGGTCAAGAGGAACGAGAAATAGAAATCAATAAATATCAAATATGGAAAGAAAAGTTGTCATTGGTTACCAAAGGCATTCATAAAATAATACAGGAACGTGGTAGATTCTTGTTCGATTACTCTCCTTTTGAATTGAATGGAAGGGAATTACCTTTATTTTTTAGGGTGGTGATAAATGCGCCTTCTATTAATGAACATCATTTAGATGAGTTAGTTAAAGAAGTTGAAACGATTGGTGAGGGTATATTAGAATATTTAGAGAAGAATAATCAAATTCAAAATGGATTAAGATCGGAGAATCAAACGACTAATGAGGATTATCATAGAATATCCGGAAGGACTAATGGTAATGGTAGCAATAGCAACGGTGTAAGCAATGGATTTCATCATATAGAACATGGGTGTGAATAGTATCCAAAGTTTTATCATTTAGATTAATTTATTTAATTTATTTATTTATTTTACAATTTTCTCGTTTTCTTCATAAAATTAATAGAACTGAATTTTTTCCAAGTTATTTTTTTATATATAGACATCTAATAAAAAAAAAAGAAGCTAATAATACAAGTCATTTATGACGAACAAACATATTAATATTAATTATCGAGAATATATATACAATTTTTTTACGCGTCTACTTATAATTACATTCGTTTACATTTCTTCCAATCAATCAATCACAATCAAGTCGTTATCACGTGATCAAGCGTCCGCCAAATAAGCTCAGGGAATCAAACTTATCCCAATGCTGATGTAATCTTTCTTTTTACACTTTTTACATATATATAAAATATTATTTAAATTTGAATACCAGCAGCAAATAAAACTAATGCTGGTTCAAGTTGTTCTAAACGTTTCAACATATATGTTGAATTCCAACAAGCCTTTACGTCGATAATAGGATTAAGGTAAGGTATATTTTTTAAATCACAGAGAAGACAATGATCATCAAAAAGGCGGGGGGTTATTCGGTTACGCTGCTCTTATTGTTAAATCTAAGCGACGAATGTGTACTATTTTGCTATCATATACAGTAATTATAACTACAATCATATGCGTTAATGTTTTCAATCAAATAAATATTATTCCTCTACAAAGATCCTATACAAGTTTACTGCTACCAAAACATTTTATATTATGACACATTTATTCTAAGTATAAATTTCAAAAATGGGTTGCCTGCCGCTAAAAAAAAAAAAAAATGTAGTGAACGTTTAAAGGGTGAAATCTTTACCTCAACCCACAATATGAGTTTCTTTTTCTGATGTGTTGTAAAGAATTTAAATATACAAGTTTATTATCCCTATCACTTTGCGTTCTGTAAATAAAAACTTAAAATTATATTATAAAATCTAACTTAAATCTATACTTAAAAAAACCCTTTGTTATGACTTTTTATTTAACATTTGAAATACAAAAGTAATGGGTCGTTTGTTATTAAGAACATGGTAAATCTTATGGTCCGTAACGATGAGTTTCGTTCCCAAGTAAGAATGTATAACGTATTTTTAGAAGCATTAAAAAATCTCGCGATATGTTTTCTGCGACGACGTTGCAACGATTTTAACACTATTCATATTTGCATGAATTTTTTCGAATATCGTGACATAAAAAAAAAATTAGTTGGAGTTGGTATTGTAGCTCTTTTATCCATAAGATTTCATTGCATACTCCCAAAAATTGTTTAATTGTTTTTAAGAGGTCATTTTTTAGTATTTTTAACAAATTTCTCCTTTAAATATTTATGTTTAATTTAATTTGAAATCCACGATTTGTATAGATATATTAAAATATTTTGGGTACGCCAGAACAGAAAATTTTTATCCTGCTGTGCCTTTGAAATTTTGTTATCATACCACTCTTTCTGACATAGAATTAGGATGAGCGCTGAGAAAAGGGACAAATTAAAAAAAAAAAAAAAAAATTTATGTTCTGAATCGATTGATAAAATTTTCGATTTGGTCTCTTTTTTCAACGACTCATGTGGCAAACAATTTGAGTCGTACGGTCGATATTTGAATTTTTAAATGAAGTTTATCTCACCACTTTCTATCAATCCAAAATAAAGAATCACAATTAACTAAGGATTTCTATATATATATAAAATTTTTTCAGCTGCTTGGAAGAGAATAATAATCTATATTTTTGAATTGAAAAGTTTTAATAATGGGCAGTACTCAATTTTGGTTCGAGATATGAAGAAAGAATTAGAAGTGGTATTTTTAATCGCTTTATTGGTTCTCTTAAACCTTTAATCAACTTAAATAAACTTGGAGAGTTACATATTGAGTCTACAGACATTGATAGTTTACCAGCAATTTATTGTTTTTCTTTTCTCAGCAACATTACTCTGTCGGAGAAAATTAGGACCTTACAGTGGAGTATATGGAACTTGGAAAAATAAAAATCGTAAATTAATTGCTGAATCATAACTTCTAGAGAAAAGCATCACATTGATGAATCGATACCAATTGAGTATTATAATAGATTAATTAGTGAACAGGATGCTCTCCAAAAAGTATTGAGGATAAAACAAAGTACAACAAATGAGGATTATGATAAATTAATTGCTGATCGGAATACTCTCCAAGATAATTTAAATGCATTGAGGAATTAGAAATTAATAGATCTTTGTCGTATATAATAACGGATTCTACGACGATAATTGTAGTCATAATCGGGCTTATTGCACGATTGGTTCTGCTCTTATTGTTAAAAATACACAATAGTGCTAGTTTTATTTTGCTACTGCATCACCTGATTATAACTACAACGTAACTTTTTGTATAATAGTTTTTTTTTTATACATTAATGACTTCAATCAAATAAATTAATTATATTTATCCCTCTACTAAGTTACAATTAGTAAATATATAATAGGAAATTTTATATAAAATTGAATAAATATAAAGAGTTACAGTAAATGTAAAGAACTAATTTTTTTAAAAAAAAATGATATATAATTATATATATAAAATTTATATAAAAATAAATAATTATATATTAAAGTAAGATGAATTAATTAAATAAATCATAATTTATGATTTATAAATTAGATAGTATGAATCAAAAAATATTAAGAAACCTTATATTAAAATTTATATTATCAAAATTGAAAGAAAAATTTATTAAAAAACTAAAAATAATAATATTTTTAATAAAAAATATTTTTAAATATTTTACATATCTTACAAAATAATAGTTAAGTAAATTAGCTTATTTAAATCTATTTAGATTTAATAAAATGTTTAATTTTTTAGTTTTACTAAATTTTGATATAATTTTACTATTTTAAATTTGAAATAATTTTATTTTATTATTAAATTTTGCAGATTTTTTAATAAGATTAATATAATTTATAAAACTTTATCTTGAATTATTTAAAACTTTTATATTTTATCTAGTAATTTTAATTTGAAAATTAATGTTATTAAAATTTTTAATATACAAATTAATATTATTTAACTTATATTTATAATATAATTAGGATTTATAATAATTATATAAAATAATAAATGATTATTTACTAACATTTTAATATAATTGAATCAATTTTTAAATTTGTTATTTTATATAAATATTTAATTAAAATAAAACTAAAAGATGAATTAAATTAATAATTAAAAATATATATTTTTGAATATTTAATATAGGAAAAATTTATCTGTAATATCCTATTATATTAAGGAGATTACATCATCTATAAGTTTATAGTAGATCAGCAGATTATAAAATTATATAATATATAGTTCTATAAGCAATAGATTAATCGTTTAAAAAATAAATTAAGTCAAAACTTATAGGTCCTTTTACTAAATAAATTCTGTTATTTTAGTACTCAATTATTTAGTTAAACTTAGTGTAGATGAATATAAAAATGTAAAAATCTCTTGGTATATCATAAGATTAAAATTTAACTTAATGATCTATAAATAAATACTAAATTAATTTTAGTAACCAAAGGTTATCAAACTTAAATTACTACTATAAATCAAGTTGACTGACTTGATTTACAATAGTAATTCAAGCTATTAAATTAATTAAATTAATCAACTCTAAATTTTAAAATGAATAATAAAACTTTATTATATTACAAGAACAAAATGATAATAACTAACTAATTCCTACATGTCCTTGTATTATGTTTTATTTCCTTATATTTACCATATACATATTTCTTTCTAATTACTTTATCACTTAATGCAGCATCTTTCTGGAAAATTGAAAAATTCAAAGTTTATATATCTTGATCTAATAGAACCATTATCATTCTTTACTACTCTTTTTTTCCTAACAGCAAAACTAGAAAATCTATCAAATTTAAAGCTTTGAATGGTTTAGTTTAATTCAGATTAAAAGCCAATCTAAATCTGAACTGAATCACAAACTGGTAAAAATCTGAACTGAACTGGAATTTTTAGATTAATCTGAAATTACAATTCAATTATATGTGAATCTCGAAAAAATCCACAATTTATATATGAAACTCTAAGAAAATCACAAAAAAATCATGAATTTCTCTTTGAGGTTTACAAAAAATTGCGAAATCAAAGAGAAAGCACAATTTTTTGCTACTCTCCAAAAGATTTATGATATTGTTTGCAAAATTTGAAGAAAATCACAAAAATTTATGATTCTTCAAGATTTTCACATTTTTTTTTGCAAAATTTGAAAAGAAATTGTATTTTTTGCAATTCTTTAAAAGTTTCGCTAAATTTTTGTGATCCTCTTAGAGAATTTGTAAATTTTGCGATTCTCCAAAAGTTTCACAATATTTTTGTAAAATTTGAAAAGAAATCGTAATTTTTTGTAATTCTTTAAGAGTTTCGCAATATTTTTTACGAAAATTTGAAGAAAAATCATAAAAAAATTACAATTCTCTAAGAGTTTCGCTATACTTTGCGAACCTATTAGAGAATTCGCAAATTTTGCAATCTTCCAAGAATTTTGCATATAATCAAACTGAACTTTTAGATTAATTCAAAATTTTTGGTTTAGTTCAGATATTTTTCAATTTAGATTAGAATTATAATCTGAAAATAATCTGAACTGAACTGAAAATTTTCAGATTGAATTTTATGCAATCTAAAATTGATCTGAACTGAATTGATCTGAAAAATCTTTGGATTAATCTGAACTGTTTGAAGCTTTAGTCAAATTTCAAGTAATAATGATAAGCTATATTAAAGTTTGAGAATAATAGCCCTTTATAAAGATTAGAATAAATATTTAATTTGAGCAAGTTAGAACTAAATTGAACAAAACTCATTCCTTTCATTTAAATAAAGAAATATAAGAAGATAATAATAAAAAACAAAAAATAACAAATAGATATCTATACCATTTTGTGTATTAAATCTAGGTATTTTATTTGTATTAAGGTTATTAATTTGGGATTGTAAATAATAAGAGAGAGCATATGAATTGCTAATATCAAAAAATTCATATTCCAATAACTTAAAAATCTTGTGGTTATCAACACTTTAGTAAAAGAATTCATTACTTATAATTTAAAATTCAAAGAAATGTAAAAAAGTATATAAAAGCGAATAAAGTTTATTTTATATAAAAAAGTTTATTATAATTTATGATGAAATAGTTATATATCATATTACATAATCAGTGATAGCTTCACATTCATTATATATAAATTAATCCTTTAATATAATAAATCTAATAAAAATTTATATACTATATAATTATATTTTTTTAAAAAATTTATTATTTAAATAATATAATACTTTAAATAATACTTTTAAATATCATTATAATTTCTAATATTAAAAGAAGAAAAGCTTATCAAATTAAAATAATTTTATGATATATTTAATAATTTAAAAGATAAAAAAAATATAATTAATAATAGTAATTTATAATAAAATAATTATACTTTTATTTATTATAAAAAGTAAAATTAAAAAGATAAATAAATTATTATTATATAAAGTGTATAAATATATATATTAAATTTTATCTAAATCTTAAATTTTTTAATTAAATATATTAATTTAAAATAAGAAATAATTTAAAAAGTTTATCAAAATAAAGAAATAAAAAGTATTTATATAGGTTAGAATTAATATTAATATAGAATAAATTATAAGAAAGCATTTAAAATTAAAATATAAAATTAAAGATTAGTAATATAATACTGTATATTTATACTATATTTAATTATATAAAAGAAATGATTAAACATTTATCATTTAAAAATGATTTTAATAAAAAAAGAAAGAATAATTAAAATAAAAAAAACTTTTTATTTTTAGAATATATTTATTATATTAATAATAAAAGTCATTATAGCTAAAAAAAAATTTGTGAATTCTTTTAGCCAATTAAAAATTCAAGTTATATTAATATACTAAAAGAAGTATTTATTATATTAATGAAATGCATTTGAAAATTAGTCTATAAATAATAAATAATTATGTTAATTTATTATACAACAATTCACTTTAGGTATTACAAACCAATTTATATAAAACAAAAAAAAATATAAATTAAACCATTCGTCCACCTCAATTATAATTTTCCTAACCTAATACCACCATCGATTCTAATAATTTCGGCATTCATGTAAATATTTTCGATTAAATGAATTACCAGTTTATTAAATTCACCATCAGATTTACCAGGTCTAACAGGAAACTCGGCTTGTTTTAGAAGTTTTTGTCTAGATTTTTCATTCATGATAGAAATCATTGGAGTTTCTAAAATAAATAGGGGTCAAATCAATATATAACTTTCACTAACTTTTAATGTAAAACAAAAAACAAATAATTGTAAATACCAAATGGACCGGGAGCAACAGTGACGACTCTAATACCAAATTTTGATAAATCCCTCGTCATAGGCAAAGTCATTGAAGCTACACCTCCTTTAGATGCAGAATATGCAACTTGTCCCGTTTGTCCATCTTGATAAGCTATAGATGATACATTTATTATTACGCCTCTTTCTCCTAATTGAAATATTAGCCAACCCAGTTTTTTACATTAATCATAAATTTAATATAAAAATGATTTGAAAAAAAATGGGGGATTACCTTCTTCTAATGGTTTTTGTTTAACCATTTGTGCCGCTACTAATCTACATACATTAAAGGTACCAATCTAACAACAAAATTATCTTTAGCAAGTTATTTGATCATTCAACTAAGATTTATTCAACTTAACTAACCAGATTAACATTAACGACCAATTTAAATGAATCAAGATCTAATGGCTTTCCATTTGGTCCGACAATCTATTATCCAAATAAAAATTTTTTATTTTTTAAAAAAAAATTAAATTTCAATTTAAAAATTCATTTAAATATATACCCTTCCTACACCAGCTATGCCACCACAATTTATAACTCCACGAATATTTTCACCAAACTTTTCAATTGCTTGTTGAATAACTTTAGTTATTTCTTCCTATACGATAAAAAAATATTAATCAGTGATTAGAGTGATAGTTTTTTTTTTTTTAAAAAAAAATAATAATTACTTCAGATGTTATATCAGCTTGAATGAATAAAACGTTCTTTTCTCGTCCTTTAAAAAATGATTTTCCATCATCTTTCAAATCAATTACCTAATAATATAAAAATTGAAATGTAGCTCTTGAGTATTCGTTATAATCGTTATTATTTTATTATTTTGATATTACTTACCACCACATTTGCTTCTAGTTTCAATAATTGTTGAGCTGTTGATAATCCTAAACCACTTCCTCTGTCGGAATATTGAATTATTATTTGATTCTTGTTAAAAAAAAAGGATTGTTTGATATTTACCCTCCAGTAACGATAAAAGTGTTTCCTTTAATATACATGGCTCAAAAAATTTAAAGTTTTTTTAGCATGATATTTATAATTTAGGCATTGTCATATGGTGTAACATATTTGAACTTTAATCTGTTATGGTATATTAACGTCATCACGCGCTTACTTGACAAAGTTAGTAATCGGTAGTTCCATATTGGGAACAAAGACTGACATTTTTTTACAGCACAAGAATATCCATATAAGGAAAGCATCGCTGGAATTTTTAATGCATTATAAAACGTGCCGATAATTTAGGCCATTCGTCAATTTATTCTAAAAGATTATCAGAGGCCAGACATTTATCATAATACCTACACCTAGTCACATGCCGAGAAACACTCGACTCGGTACACTCCGTAAATTCATGTTAGGGTCACAAGCACAATGATGTAGTTTTTATGTTTCTTGTAGCAAGTAAAAATTCATTTTATGGTAATTTTCGAGATTGATTATCGTCATTATTTAAAGTCATATGTTATAAATGTTTATTCCAAATTAGAAATGACATTCTGCATGAATATGTATTAAGTTCACATGGATAATCACCATAATTTGCTTATAAGATATTTCAAAATTTGATAATCAATTTTTTTTTTTTAAACGTTTATTTCGTTATATAAGGGTAATAAAAAAAAAAAAAAAGTTTTATCAGATATTTAACTTCAACTTTTCATTTCACTTACTAATTGAAAATAAATTATATTTATTTAAAATACAATAATGTGTGGTATTACGGCATTATCATTAGCTGATCCAAATGCCTCAGCTAGTTTAGAATTATTTGAAGGTCTTCAAATCCTGCAGCATAGAGGACAGGTATTATAACATAATTTTAAATAATTGTATAATTTTAATATTAATTCGACAATTAAATTGAAAATTTTTTTTTTTTGGTAATGGAAGGATGCGGCAGGAATTGTCACGTGTGGACATAAAGGAAGATTTTATCAATGTAAAGGAAATGGAATGGTAAGAGATGTCTTTAATCAAGAGCACCTACAAAATTTAGTTGGAAGTCTCGGAATTGGTCATGGTACGCGTATTCCCTTTAACTTAATGTGGGTGTATTGAGTAATGAACGTTATTAGATCGGGACGTTGAAATATTAGCAACTCGAAGTCGTTAACGTCGTGAACGATAATTTTTCTATTATGTACCTTTAGTGCGATACCCTACAGCCGGTTCATCTTCAAATTCCGAAGCACAACCATTCTATGTTAATAGTCCATATGGAATTGTATTTGGTCACGTACGTAATTTATTTAATGAAATATTTTTATTTATAAGAAAATGTCATTCATCATCTCATTTATTTACACGCGTCATTACCTTTTTTAATGTATAATAGAATGGAAATTTAATTAATGCACGAGAATTACAAAATTTTTTGGATTTTAAGGCTCATCGTCATATAAATACCGATTCAGATTCAGAATTGTTATTAAATGTGTTTGCAAATAATTTACAAGCAACGGATAAATTTAGGTATTTACTATATAATACCTTGCAAACATTATTTTCGTTTATTATTCGTTAACCTTTTTTTTTTTTTTTAAAAAAAAATTTTGCTTAGGATTAATGAGGAGGATATTTTTACAGCAATAAAAGGAATTTTTGAACAATGTATAGGTGGATATGCATGTGTAGCAATGATTGCAGGTTTGTTGGAATTTACATATATCTTTTAAGGTGGTACTTTATTAATGATCGGTTATCTTGTATTTTTTTAGGTTTTGGTATAATTGGATTTAGAGATTCGAATGGAATTAGACCGATATGTTATGGAAAAAGAGAACATACAAGCGGAACCGATTATATGTTTTCATCAGAAAGTGTTGTATTAGATGCATCTGGCTTTTCCGAAGTTACTGATATAAATCCAGGTATTTTAAAACATTGATAAAATTTTCAATTTATTTCAAAAAATGAATTTTTAATAATCATTTCTATATATGTACTAGGCGAAGCAATAATTATAACAAAGACAGCAATAACAAAAAGACAATTAGTTGAACCAATAAATTTTACCCCTTGTATATTTGAATTTGTTTATTTTGCGAGACCCGATTCGGTAATTGATAATATATCGGTTTATAGATCAAGGTTAGAAATGGGTGAACATTTAGCTGATCAAGTTATAAAAAAATGTGGAAATAACATGGACATTGATGTCATAATTCCGGTAAGTACTTTTTGAACGAAAAGAAGTGAATTAAATTTTTCTTTTCCCTTTTTTAAAAAAAAGGGAAACTAAAGTGATGAATTTTTTTTTATTAACCTAGGTTCCTGATACTAGTCGGGTAGCAGCATTACAAGCATCTTATAAATTAAAACTTCCGTACAGAGAAGGCTTTATTAAGAATCGTTATGTTGGCCGTACATTTATAATGCCCGGACAACAAATGAGAAAAAAAAATGTTCGACGTAAATTAAATGCCATGGCATTGGAGTTTTCCGGCAAGAACGTTCTAATTGTTGACGGTACGTATATGAAGAAATGGCTTGTGGGAGATGTATTCATTGAGGGGAATGATTAAATAATTTTAAAACATTTTTCGTTGTATTAGACTCGATCGTTAGAGGAACTACTTCAAAAGAGATCGTTCAGATGGCACGTGACGCTGGCGCCAAGAAAGTTTATTTCGCATCTTGTGCTCCGCCTATTAGGTATGACATCAAAAATACTTTTTCCTTGTACCGTATTATTCGTTAAATTAATTAAGATCTTTTATAGGTATCCTAATGTTTATGGTATTGATATGCCATCCCGCCAAGAACTTGTAGCATATAATCGAGATGACGATTTAATTGCTAAAGAAATCGGAGCTGATCTTGTAATATATCAGGTAAATTATCTACGAGCAAAATTTCTGAAATAGAATTGTGTATATTTTTATTCTTTTCTTTTTTTTTGTGCAATTCTGATTTAATTTGTTTTTTCCTTTTATTTAACAATCAAGGACTTGGATGATTTATTGGCATCATGTAAAAAACTCAATCCAAGCATTCAAACATTTGATTGTTCGGTATTTAATGGACAATATATTACGGGAATTACAAAAGAATATTTAGAACACTTGGAAAGTTCTAGAAATGATTCGGCAAAAAATTCCAATGATAGATTACAGTCTCCGGATACTATTGGGTTACATAATAATTTTGGTTATAATGGTAGATCATAGGTTTTATGGTGTATGGTATCTTAAGTCAAAAGGCCATTGTATATAGTTTTTCGTCTAATTTTCTTACGAGTATAATAAGTATCCCGAAAATTTTTGGTTTTGTTTTTGTATTTAGATTTTAGAAAGACTTCATTTTATATATATATAATGATAATGAAAATGAGAATAATATTAATAAATACTAAGAATTTGATAAAAACCTTATTTTTATCTTCGATGAGATTTTACATTTCACGTGACGATGCAAATGTTCGTGTAACCTGACATAAAATATATTCGAGAATCATTTTCACCGTTTGGTTTTTCAATGATGAGTTATGGAAGAAGCATCAAAACAACGTAAAGAACGTCTTGAAGCTTTAAGAAAACGTAAATTAGGAAATGAACCAGAAAATAATAAAGAGGAAGTCAAAGAGGAGGGTAAAAATGAAAAGTATGATTTTTATTTTTATTTTTATTTATTTTATTTTTTTTTAAAAAAACAAATAAATTCTTTTCAATTCAAATTGTTTGATCACAACCTATTTTTTTTTTTTTTTTTTTAATCTTTGTGTTAGACTGCCATTGAAATTTCGTAATTATACACCAATAAATGAGGATATAAAAGCCATATCAAAAATCAATATATCAACACCAAAGGATATAACGGAAACCTTAGAAAAAACGGTTGAAGAAGTTACAAAACAAGTTAAAGAGGAGGAAGAAAAGAAACGTGAAGAAGAAGTGGTAAGTTAATAAATAAATATCCTTTGATGGAAAGTTATAAAGAATTTCCTAACGAATATTCTTTATTTTTTTTAGGATCTATTTAATTTAGCGCCCAAAAAACCAAATTGGGATCTTAAGAGAGATGTAGAAAAGAAATTAGCCAAATTGGATAAGATTACGCAAGCTAGCATCGCCGAATTAATAAGTAAATGATTGATATTTAAATTTTATTTTATTTTATTTTGATTGTTAATTTAAGGGAATCGATTAAAAACAAATCTTTTTTTTTTTTATAAAATGTAAAATTAGGGATTAGATTGCAAGGAGAATCAAATGAGAATTCAACAGTTGATTTGGTTGACGCCATTAATGCACAACAAAAAGCCGATACTGATGGGGAAGTGTCTGATTAGAATTAAATGTTGGGAAAGTTTTAAAATAAATCATCATCAATTCCATTGTACTATAAAAAAATAACAATATAGAAGATTTCATTAGCAACCTGTCTAAAGTAGAACAAAAAAATTTCCACAATTCACAAAAGCACGACAAAATTCTTATTAGATTTGATGTGATATAAGAATCGACGATAAAACCATTCGGGAACTTGATAAGGGGCCAAGAAGATTATTTGTTCGGCGTAATGCCAATTTTTAAAAAGTTAAATGATTCGAAATTAAGTATGGAAATTCCGATTAATATCAGAAAATTCATCAATTTTACAAAGCAGAAAGGTGCTTTTATTTATGTAATTTTTTACATGATATATTTACTATGAACATCGGTCGAAATAAATGTACTACCGTAACGAAATTAATAAAGTTTAAAGATCCGTGTCAATCCGAAACAATTCGAACTTTTAATTTGATATACCCGATTCGAGATTCCGTTATAATTCATTCTTTATAATTTCACAAATTATTTCGTGTTACGGTAAATTTTCGTGTAACTGAATCAAAATCTTTTTAATTTTTATCATTTGATTTCTATTAACGAATAAAAAATGATGAATTTTTAAAAGATAAATAAATTATTTTTTCAAAAATCAATGTGCGTTTGCAAAACGGAATGCCAAGATAAAATTATCATAATATTCATTTTAATATGATATTAAAAAAAAAAAAAAAAAAAAAAGCGCAACGCATTTATCATAAGGGAGCTTTAGTTTAAACAAAGAGAATGAATATCCTTTTATTTGTTTACTTTAGATCACTCATATTTTAAAAATTATTGGTTCATATATAATCATTAGCAAGGCAAATAAAAAATTCCTTGCAATCTACGAATTTTTGCATACAATTAATAATTTGTAGGAATGTTTTAATAAAGTTCTATTTGGATCACATACCATCATTTAATCTAAATTTTGGTATTTGATTGGTTCCAAAGCCAAGACATTTATTATAATAACCAATTCAACGCCTACATTAAAACTAACAAAAACCCCACATTACGCAAAGTTTAAATTAGGCAATAACAAGGGAATAGGCTCTCACGCCAGCCTAAGCTGACTCCTTTTCCTTTTTTGTAAGATATCGTAGGAGAATATTACGAGCACCATTTATATCTCTATCAAGATTTATTTTACATTGGGGATAGCAAAATTCTTTGGATCCACCTAGTTTTTTATGAATATAGCCAAGTTTGCTTGTGTATTCTTCTGTACACATTACCATGAATACTCACGTGACTTATGGATCAAATGCTGTCGAAAGCAAAAATGTGACCATGTACACATGGATCGAGCAGTTTTGGAACCAATACGTCGTTGCCCACGTCGGAACATTCTCTGAATGCGAAATTCGGGTAGTAATATTATACAATAATTTTCACACAACCAATTAGCCAGCTTATAATAACAATCATTCACAAGACAGCGGATTTTCTTATAAATTCATAACATAATACGACGTAATCTACAATTAAAAGTAGTAAATACATTAAATTATAAAAAATATTATAATTAATTGATTAATAAATTTTACCTGTAACGTTTTCGCTTATTTTTTTTTCCATGAATTTGATCACGCTTGCTTTGGAGTTTGTCATATGCATGACATAATCTGTAAATGCGGCCAATGTCATTTTTGCCTCATTCAATAGCCATTCCACTTGGATCATAACTGGTCATAAATGTATGTACACCTGGATCCAAAGAAATCACTCCTGATCCTACCTATTAAATTATTAAATATAAAATTAATTAAAGTTTTATTTAATAGATAATATAAATAATAAAAAAATAGACAAAAACCTTTTGAAATATAGGACCTTAGTTTTCGGCCCGCATTTCAAGTGGTCTGGATATACAAAGATAATATTCACCAAGCCGATTCATAACAAGACAGTTATCATATTCAAGTTTTTTTGGAAGAGGTTCTGATGACTTGATTTTAGGAAGGAATGAATATTCACCATGAGATTTACCCCAATGCTTTGATAAGACTGTGATAGACTGTTGAGAATCCTTTTTGGAATGGAACTTTATCTTGAAATTTTTACGATTAGTAGCAAAATTAGAAGAAAATCCTTTAAGCAAGTCATTCATTGCTTCATCACGAATGTCATAGGGAGTTTCAAAGATCCATTTGAGTTTCATATCATTGAAGTTTTTGACATTTAAACATAGAATGCATAGATCCTTCTTTTCTCGTTTAATACCTTCTTTTTCAATCATGATAAGATACTGATTGTATGTCCATAATGCTGTTCCCATCCATCTTCTGAGTTTTAGCCGCTCCTGCTGGTTGGGATAAATGCGAATCCATTGTACCTTACCTGCTAAAAGTTTCTTCACTTCCTTCTTGGAACTCTTAAATCTCTTAGGCAGCATCTCTTCTCCTTCTGTGATTTGTAACTAAACGTAATCCATTATATCACATTAAAAACACTGTGACAATTGCAAGAAAATCTTCTGCAAGTTCTCTAACTTCACTACTTTCAGCACTAACATTTGTACTGAGTACCATGAGCTTAGTCCCATTCTTCTCAAAGAATCATTCCACAAGCTTAAATCCGAAATGGCATAATCAGTCCTAATAGAAAAGTTAGTAAAATAAAAAAAAAATAATAAATCAAAGCAAATAAATAATTAAACTTAAACCTTTTGGATAACCATTACTTCTTTGATTCTTCCTGCGTGTATTTATTCCAGAAGGGAAACAAACCTCCTGCATTTCCAGTTAAACCTGGCATAGCAAATTTTGACCTTTTGCGCAGGTTGTGTCTGGTTGTTTCTGAAGATTCCTTGTATGTCAATTGAGACATCATATATTTTTTTGATTTTTATTTACACTTTGAGAGTTGTTAAAAATGTGATCTTTATTCAGAAATGAGAGGTTGACAGTAGTACTGTGTTGCTTAAAACTATATTTGATTTTAAATTTTAAACTTTACATAACCGTATTAATAATTAGTAAGCTCAAGTAATACAAAAATGTGGTTTATTCTAGAATGTTCAAAATCACGACAACAGTTCAAATAGTATTGAAAATCTTCCAAAATTAGTTATAAATGATTTATTCAAGAAGTATTCTCTTAAGCCCAAAAGAAAAGTGATTTTTAATATGTGAATTATTTTAAAACCATTTTATTCAATTTATTGTACAATACTAGAAAAAAGGAATCAGATTTGATTTGAAAGGAAAAGTTTAAGAAATGTATTGCAAAATATAAATAGATAGCGATATAAGTATACAGAAATTTATTCTTTTATGTTGACGTTTACTAAGATGATCAAAATATTTTATCCAATCAAAATTACTCACTCTAATTCACTGACCTATACTGTGTGAAACAGTTTTAAACGTTTTTTTAATTGAATAATAACATAGATATTGAAGGGGCTATATTGGATGAAAACGATACAGTAACTCTTTCGTTCCTTTGTATAATAAAATGAGGTTTCGATTATTAATACAGTTGTCAATAATTGCTTAGTATTGCTTATCATAATATCGTTATTAATAAAAATTATATAAGACTCAAAAATCGTTCAAAATCGTAAACTCAAACTCTTTTCTCCATGTATTTGTTTTCACACAAGGTAACTAGAAAACTTGGAATCTCATCAGATACCTTACATCATTGACTAGAGCAAGGAAGAATTACTGCTAAAACGTCTCTTTCTGGTATTCGCCTTATGACATATCTTCCATTTTTTCAGAGTTGACTTCCTAAGATGTCGATTATACTACCGTCATCGTTACCACTACCACCACTAAAAAGGGTTCCTTTATGCATGGGTTTCTAGTGTCAAGCAAAAAGCAGATCTTGAATAGTAGAAATAACTCCTCAGATCTTGATACCCAACCTACAAACTCATCAGCAACATCAGCTCAGGTGTCTACTTCAAACGACCGGGACTTAAGACCTTATTGGAATGGATAAGTCGCAGAATGGTTTCAGAAATTGTGGTTACCCATCGTAACTGACTCTACCAGTTTGCCTTTGACCTCATTCAGTATGTGCTCTTTTTTTACACTACAAAACACATGGTTCTCTTCAACAGTACGACCTCTGATGAGCACAAATCTTCCCAGGATATCCTTGTGATCATCATTGTTTACATCTATTAAATGCAAGGAAAAAGAGCTGTCTTACATCGACGAATACATATAAATAAGTGAAATAAGCATAAAGAGAAAAGCTATTGCAATAAAGGTATACACCAAACGAAAACATTCAGAAGAAACTCTCAATTGTACACTACTAGTCAAGGTGTACTCCAACCATACTCAAAAACAATTATTGAAATGTTAGATAGGATTGGTGAGATTTGCTTATAATTCTGTTATAAAGTGAAGCAAAAGGTGTTATTTCGTAAAGGAAGATGGCATATAAAAAGAAATATATAAATCATATGAATTATTAACAAAAACTTTCTTTATTTAGTGACATCTGAGCTGGAATAAATGTTGACAACGTAAAGGATAAGAAACTTATTAGTTCAGCTATCTGGGGTAAGAGAAAATTCTTGAGAGCTATTGTTCGTTTAGGAATGCTATTACGCAGAACATTAAATGTTACTCCTGCAAATATAATTGATGAAGCAATTGATGAAGCATTAACTGCTAGAAATGAGGTTATTAAGTGCAATACTCGATGAGTACAAAATGAATCTGTTAATTCTTTATCATTTCAAACTTATAAAGATTTATGACAAACTATTACCATCTGTGCCCAAAATTTTTCATCTTCAATATGGAACCGTTTTTACATCACCTTACCTGCACACTCCATTAATGTACACTTCACTTGCCACAAACCTATCATAATAAACAGTAACAAGCGTGCATTATGGCCACTTCATTTTGAAAAAAGCATAAAATAATAAATGGCCTATTTCGCATAAGGTTTCTTGTGATAGCAAGCTTACTTAATTTTGCCAAACAAATAAGATACAAAAACAACA